GCAGGGCTGCGTGGGAGTCAGCGAGGCGGGGTTGGGGGCCAGGCGCCTGTGCAGTGGTGGTAGGAGGAGGCTCATCTGGTGCTTACATCCCTGGGTAGGGCTCAGGGAGCTGGGGCCACGCCTGCCCTGTCCCCTGTTCCCTCACTTCCTGCCCGTGGCTCACGTCCTGTCCAGGGTCCAGAAGAATCCATAGCTCCCCTCAGGGCCTGGTTGGGGTGCCTCCCACAGGGACCAGCCTCTGAGGATTTCCTAGCCATTCTGCCCACCCTGGCCTGGACCCTGGTGGCCAGGCTGGCTGAGGGCTCCCCTGTCCACAGGTGACCGGGAAGTTCCGTGGAGGCGTGAACCCCTTTACCCGAGGCTGCTACGGGAACGTGGAACACGTGCTTTGCAGCCCCCTGGCTCCCCGGTGAGGCCTGGCCTGGGTGGGTGGGAGGGTGGGAGGGGCTGTTTGCCGGGTGTGGGGTGGGGAGGCTGTGGACTCTCAGGCTGGTCCATTTCTGCTCTTGGCAGGTGGGGCTGGCCTTGCCCTTGGCCTGGCCGCTGACCCCTCTGCCTGGTGTAGGTATGTGGGGGAGCCGCCCCGGCTGCCGCTGTCCGTGAGCCTGAAGCCACCCTTCCTCCGGCCTGAGCTCCTGGACCGGGCCGCCCCGCTCAAGGTCAAGCTCAGTGATAATGGGCTGAAGGCAAGCCTGGGCCGCAGCAAGGTGGGAGCCCCGGGTGGGAGGCGGGCAGGTTGGAGGGAGGTGGAACGCAGGGAGAGCGGGCAGTTCTGGGCCCAGCGGCTCCAGGAAGGAATCCCCAGTTAAGCACCATCCCTCCTCCGAGCCCTACCCACCACTGACCCCGCCTTCTCCCAGTCCAAGGGCAGCTTGGACCGGCTGGACGAAAAGCCACTGGACCTGGGGCCTCCACTGCCCCCCAAGATGGAGAGCAGCACGTTCAGTGGGGACGTGAAGACCCCGCGCCCGGCCAGCGCCGGTGAGGTGGGGGGTGGCCACGCAGGGGTGGGGGCGTGGACTGACCCTCCTCCCCCACCGAGCTGACCCCCTTCTGACAGAGGCTGTCTCTCCAGAGAGTGCTCTGTCGGCACAGAGGACCAGCCCCCCGACGCCTGCCATGTACAAGTTTCGACCAGGCTTCCCCACGGGTCCCAAGACGCCCTTCTGCGGGCCTGGGGAACAGGTGAGACCAGCAAGCTCCAGGCCCTGCCCTCCGGGGAGAGGCCCCTCCCCTGGGTGAGGGCCCCGCCCCTGGGAGAGGCCAGCCCTGCCCCAGGAGAGGCTTGCCCCTGGCGTGGTGCAGCCAGGCCAGCCCCACCCTGGGGACGCCCTCGGGATCTCCCATTCCCTTCCTCACAACCAGTGGTGGCTGGAGCCTGGCAGCCACAAGGCCGCTGTCCTCCCTGGACTGCCCTGGCTGCCGTGGGGGACTGTGCTCAGGCCAAGCCAGGTTGCCTGAGGTTACTAGGGCTGCCTTTGGCCACTGAGCCCCGCTGTGGCTGTCTTGGTGGCCTCTGTGAGCTGGGGGTGGGGGTGGGAGGGATGTCCACAGTGGCCAGTTCCAGCCTCACTCTGTGGCCCCCACCCCACCACCCTTCCCTTGGGGGATGCTGATGGGGGTCTGGAGGATGCTGGCCACTGTGTGCCACCCCTGGCCCGGTCCGTGCTGGGTGACATATCAGCTGTGCCTACCTCAGCTGGGGTCCCTGGGATTGCAGTCTCTACGTGGACACGTAGCGCCTGGTGGTCCTAGGCCGAGAGGGTGGACTAGGTGTGTGTGTGTGTGTTGGTGGGGGTGACGCATGCTGATGACCCTGCAGGTCCCCGGCCCCGACTCCCTGACCCTGGGGGAGGACAGCCTGGACTTCGTGTCCGAGCCCAGCCTGGACCTGCCGGACTACGGCCCCGGCAGCCTGCACGCCGCCGCCTACCCGCCGTCCCCGCCGCTCAGCGCCACCGACGCCTTCTCGGGGGCACTGCGTTCCCTGAGCCTCAAGGCAGCAGGCAGCCGGCGGGGCGGAGACCACGTGGCCCTGCAGCCCCTGCGCTCCGACGGTGGGAACCCCGCGCCCCACCGCGGCCTCTTCGCCCCGCACGCGCTGCCCAACCGCAACGGCAGCCTGTCCTACGACAGCCTGCTGAACCCCGGGTCCCCTGGTGGGGGCGGGGGCGGCGGCGGTGGCCGCGCATGCCCTGCCCACCCCTCGGCGGGCGCGCCCGGCTACCGCTCGCCCTACCTGCACCCGGGAGCTGTGGGCGAGCCCCCGCGGCCTCCGTCCCGCAGCTTCAGCCCGGTGCTGGGACCCCGCCCGCGGGAGCCATCGCCCGTGCGCTACGACAACCTGTCAAGGACCATCATGGCCTCCATCCAGGAGCGCAAGGACAGGGAGGAGCGCGAGCGGCTGCTGCTTTCGCAGGCCGACTCGCTCTTCGGCGACTCGGGCGTCTATGACGCACCGAGCTCCTACAGCCTGCAGCAGGCCAGCGTGCTGTCTGACGGCCCTCGGGGCTTGGCGCTGCGCTACGGCTCCAGGGATGACCTGGTGGGCGGCCCGGGATTTGGCGGCGGCGGCGGCGGCGCCCGCAATCCCGCTCTGCAGACGTCGCTGTCCTCGCTGTCCAGCGCTGTGAGCCGGGCGCCGAGGACGTCCTCCTCCTCCCTCCAGGCTGACCAGGCCAACAACAACGCCCCAGGGCCCAGGCCAGGCAGCGGCTCCCACAGGTCGCCTGCCCGCCAGGGCCTGCCCTCCCCGCCTGGCACCCCCCGCTCCCCCTCCTATGCAGGCTCCAAAGCTGTCGCCTTCATCCACTCGGACCTCCCCTCGGAGCCCCCGCCCTCGCTGGCTGTGCAGAGGTGGGTGCTTGGAGGGGGTGGGCCGTCTCGGGCCATTCCTTGTGGCCTGTGGTTGCCTCCAGGGGGACGGGGTAGGGAGGGTGGGCTGCCTCCTGCGTCAAAGGCCCCCGGCCACCCTCCCTGAGCAGGGGCAGGGTGTGTACCCTGTGCCCAGTAGCTCCTGCACCACAGCTGGCACAGACCTAGCACGTGGGAAGGCCTGGGTTATGGTCAAGGTCAGGGCTAGACTGGCCCCTGGAGCAGAGACCACGTGGCAGTGCCGGCTCTCCTGCTAGCCGCGGGCCGTGACTTTCCCAAGTCTACTCACTGCATTTCCCAGGGGCCAGGGGGGCTCCGGGCTGCCACGTGGTCACCTGGTAGAAGCAAAACCTATTGCCCAGGGTGCCAGGGCCTGGCCCTCATGGGGCACTGGACCCTCTCAGGAAGCAGGGGCTCCCCTGCTTACAGACTGGGAGGTTGAGGCCTGGAGAGGCGCCCCCTCCCCGTCCCCCGCCACCGCAGTGGGTTGGTAGCTGAGGATTCTGGGCTGGCTGCCTCGCTGGGCACTAGGCAGTATCTTGATGCCACCCCATCCAGGTCTCGGCAGCCACCTATGAGACCCACATCCAGGCCGCTCAGCCCCAAGACGGCTGGGGCACGGCTGCTGCCCCCACACCCTGCAGGCCACCAGCGGGAGGCCATTCTGTACCCTCAGGGCCAGTCAGGGACATGTGGGTTTGATGGGTGGGGGTGAAGAGACTCTCACCCCCAGGGGTGTGTAAGTAATGTCGCTAGAAGTGCGGGTAGGAGGATAGGACCAGGCAAGGCCTGGGGACTCCATCATCCAGTGTCCACCTGGCCAGCCCTCTCTGTGGCCCGTGTCTGCTGGGGGGATGGACCGAGGGACCAAGGAGGGGCAAGGTGACTGTATTGTCATCTGTCCTGAGACAGCAGACCCTCAACCCCGGGCAGGGCTGTAGCAGCTCTGTGTCCCAATCCACGTGTCCATCCTGACCCCCGCCGTGTCCCCCATCCCCCACTCGCTGTCCTGTCCTGTGGTCCTGTGTTCACCGTGTGCGTGCCTGTGTCTGCTTCTGTTAATGCAGGGACCACCCTCAGTTGAAGACCCCCCCAAGTAAGCTTAACGGGCAGTCCCCGGGCTTGGCCCGGCTGGGGCCCACCGCCGGCCCCCCGGGGCCCTCCGCCAGCCCTGCCCGGCACACGCTGGTTAAGAAGGTGTCCGGCGTGGGTGGGACCACCTACGAGATCTCGGTGTGAGGACTGACTGCCACCCATCTGCCGTGTTTCCACGGGACAGCGGCCCTACCCCCTTCTCGGCCCCGCCCCCTCCAGTCCCCCAGGGAGAGGGGGCCGCCCAGCCTGGCGCGGCCGCAGCAGCAGGAGGGAGCACCCACGCCTCCAGAGTTGGTCCCCTCACCCTCTGCTCGTCTGGCCGGCCACTCATCTGCTCTGGGACAAGGCCCTCCCCGCCCCCGTGTGAGGCGGGGCTGGGGGCTGCCGGTCTGTGTCTCTGCGCCCTTGGCCAGGCTCAGCCCTGCCGCCCTGGCACCCACACACCCACCATCCTCCTCCTCCCGCAGGGCAGGCTGCCCCCTGCTTGCTCTCCCTGCAGGTGGGAGGGGGCCCCTAACACGTTGCCTTTCACAGACCCTGCTTGTGGCTTGGCCAAGGCCCATGCCCCTGCAGGGGGGTGGGGTAGAGTGCAGCCCTGGCCTGGTTCTGGGCTGCGACAGATGAGCTGGACAGCTGTGGCGGGGGTCCCGGCTCCGTGTGTCCCGTCTCACCCGGCCCGCGGGCCCTCGTCCCCATGTCCGTGTGCCGTGCCCCAGCTCGGATCGCCGCTGTCCCTTTCATCGAAGCCTTAACCTCATGCTTTACGCTCTTGTGGGAGGCGACAGGAGGCCGGGGAGTGGGGGTGGGGCGGGTGGAGGCACCTGCGATGCCACTTCAGGCAGTCCCCTCCCCAGCCGTCAGGCCCTCCCTGCCAAACTGGAGAATCCCCCCCCCCACAGACCCGTGGCGAGCACCCCGGGTGCGGGATGGGGGTGGGGTCAGTGCTTCCCCTGGCGTCAGGGACCCAAGATTAAGCACATGGCCACGTCCGCTTGCGTTGTGTCTGTTTTATGTTTTTATATCTACATCTATATATCTATAATTTTATTAAAAAAAGCAAAAGAGGCATCTGGAGCCTGTGCTTGAGCCAAGGCCAGGGCCGTGGCTGTAGGGCAGCAGGGCCCCGCCCCAGGGCAGGGGGGAGGCCAGGGGTCTGGCTCCAGGGCGGGCTGCAGCGGGCACAGGGTCGCGTGTTCCTCCGACTGGAGCCAAGTCACAGGCCTGGGAGGTGGGGGCTGTCAGAGGGTCCCTGTCCCGGCATGGGGGGGGGGCTGCCGTACTCCTGGCAATGACTGGGTGCCTTGGGTATAACCTGCCGGCTGGGGGGAGGTCCTTGTGGAAGGTTCCTGCATTTGCTGGTCTCTGCCTGCCAAATGAGCAGGAACCAGGGTGGGGAGGGTGGGGCTAAGGCAGCCTTGCAGGGGCGGGGGGCGGGGGCCGCAGCTCCCAGTGTGAGTGGCGTGGGGGGCTCCGAGGGCACGGATCCCACGGCGCTGCCTCATGCTGACTTCCACCTCTCTGATTCTCTCTCACTGACGCCCGCGGCCCGCCCGCAGGGGGTGGATCGGCACCTGCAGCCGTGGATGGGGGCGGCGTGGCCAGCCCAGGGTGACCCCTGGCCTGCACCTGTGCCACCTCGGCCGCCCCGAGGACCGCCCACCACTGCGGGCCCCCTGGAGCCCGGCCGAGGGGGCCCCCCCACGCGGGGCCACGTGCCGCCCGCACTCGGCCGCCTCTAGCCTTTTCCCCAGCCTCTTGGGGCCCTAGTGGGAAGCGCAGCCGGAGACCCCTGGCTGCTGTGGACCCCGGGACGGGGCTGGGGGTGGGCTGGAGGGCTCCCTCTGCTAGCCTGACTCCAGCCTGCTGGGGCCTGTGACCCCATGTCCAAGTGACCTCAGGAAGTTCCCCCACCTGCTGTGGGGCAGGGGTGTTCCCTAGCCACCCTCCACCCCTACCTGGGGCAGGGGGCCGGCTCTGGAGCTGCTGGAACCAGCACGGACCTTCACCCAGCCTCCCTGCCTCCTCTCTACCAAGCACTTTACAAAGCAGCCACTTACCTACCCACCCCGCCCAAGCCTAGGCCTCTGCAGGTTGGGCTGAGGTGGGCGGGTCTCAGGTTGCCCCCAGCACATCTCTGCACACCCTCACCCCATCCCGGCTCCCCTCACATGAACAGATGCCTTAACGCCTGGAGCTGCCCAGCCCCCTGAGCCCCGGACACCAGCCTGGCGGCCCTGCCCTGGTGCCGCCCCTGCCTCGGGAGCTGCAGCCCCCAGCCCCAGGGCCAGGGCCAGGTGGGGCCCCTCACCGGTGCAGGTCCCTGTACCAGGGCCCATCGGGCAGTGGCTCTGTCCCTCCCATCCGGGGATGGGGTGAGAGTGGCCACACGGCTAGTCCCCATGGACCTAAGGGTACTTCCTCCCAATTTGATTTCCCAAATAAAAATTTGGTGTTGACCTCCACAGCTCTGTCCGCACCCCGTGCTCTCTTCCAGACTGTGCCCCAAGAGTGCCAGGAGGCCAGCCTGGACAGAAGACCCTGGGTTGGGGAGGGGGGTGGCCGTGGTGGTGACTTGGCCTTGTGTGGGGGTGGGGTTCATGTGAGGGGTGGGTCAAGGGTCAGCAGATTCGAGGCTGAGAACTTGACCTCTCAGTGTCCTGGAAGGTCTGCTCCCCCCCCCACTCCAAGGGGAGGAGGGGTGTGAGGTTCCCGACCCCACCAGCTTTCAGTGGAGGCCCTGCAATGACAGCTTTAGGCTCAGGTCCGGCCCCACCCTTGGGAACCCAAGCTGGGGGGAGGCTCCACCCGGAGGGACCCCCGCCTTGGGCCCAGCGCGGGGTGGGGGGAGTGTCAGACCCACCGGCCCCGCCCCCGTCCCCATGGAAACCCCACTGCGCAGGGAGGGGGTCAAGTCCGAACCGCGGCCCCGCCCCCGTCTCCATGGAAACAAGCTCCCTAGGCCATGCATGTCACGACTCTATGTCCAGCCGCAGGCCCAGCCCTCAGGACAGAACCCGCCTCCACCCTTCTCCGCGGCTCCTGGCGGGGACGGTGCGTGGCGGCGGCGGTGCTGTGGGCAGGGGCCGGCACGGCCACAGGGCACCCGGGCCAGCGCCGGCCGCCTGGCCTCCTCCTCGCTGGGGCCGCGGGGCCTCCGGCCTAGAAGGGCAGGAAGTCGTCCACCTCGAGGCGCAGGAAGGGGCCCAGCAGGGCCCGGAGCTTCCAGACAGCGGCGCGGCTCAGCAGGGGCGGCACCAGCCCCTCGAAGGGCGCCGGGTCCACCACGTACACGTAGGCGGCGGTGCAGGCCAGCAGGGCGCCCAGCAGAAGCCTCAGGGCCAGCAGCCTGCGGGCGGTGGTGGTCAGGGGGCAGGGGGGCGCCCTTGGGGGATGCTCCCGGGGAGGGGGTGGGGACAGAGCTCAGCCCGCCAAGCCACCTACCAGAGCTGGCCCTTGAGGCCCTCGGAGCATCCCAGCGGGGGCCTCCCCTTCTGTGAGGGAGGGACACGGTGAGGCCCCCTCCTCGAGTTGGGGAAGGGGAGGGAGGAGGGTCCCTGGCTTGGGGGACCTTTGACGGGGATCAGGGATTCCATCGCTGCGGCCTCGCCCCGCCCCCACCCCTCCCGCAGGCAGCTGGCTCCTGGGGGCGGGGCTTCCACTGGTCCCACCCCGCCAGGTGGGTTCGGGTCTCCAGGTGAGGAGGGGCGCTCACCGCAGCGCACGCCAAGTTCTGCTCCTTCCTGGCCTGGGTGCGGCACTGGGCGCGCTCCCTGGGGGTGGGGCTGCAGTCACCACCACGCCCCCCCCGTGCCTCCCCCCCGTCCCACCTCCTGGCTTTGGTGCCGACTGCCCTCACCCTAGGATCTCCAGCTGGATGCCCTCCATCTGGTCCAGCACGCCCCGGATGTCTTTCTTGAGGTTCTGGGCACAGAGCAAGGCGCCGGGCACTCCCCGCCCTGTCCCCACCTTGCGCGCCCCGCCCACCCCCTCGCCCGCGGATGTCTCCCCTGGGAGGACCTACCAGGAGCCCGGTGGCCTGGTTGTTCAGAGCCATGTGCACCTCTGCCACGCCGTCCCACACCTGGGAGTCGGGGGTGGAGTGGGGTGGGGCCAGGGTCAGCCCGGTAGGAGTGGGGGTGGGGGGGTCTCCTAGCGCGGCCCCGCCCCCACCGGTCAAGCGAGCACCTCGGTGATGGCCATCTTTTTCCTCTCAAAGGACAGGCGGATCTGCTGCAGCTCGTTCTGGGGGAGGAACAGAGCGTGGCAGGGCCGGCCCTTCCCGCTGACCCCGGGGAGGGGGGAGGGAGCCACCTGCGCGGGCTGCCGGGCGGGCCCCGCCCCCTCCACAGCCCCGCCCCCGACGCCCACCTGGGACTGCTGCACGAAGGCCTCCTCCCCCCGGCACACCTCCTGCCGCAGCAGCTGCACAGGGGCCCTGTCCTCCGGAGGCCGGGCACTGGTGGACTCGGGGGGCTGTGAGAGAGGCCCCACGTCAGCCCCGGGGCGGCGGGCGGTGCCTGTGGCCCCGGAGGTGCGCTCACCGGCTCTTACCCAGGTCAGGGCAGTGCAGCTGGAATGCTCTGGGCACAGGGGCAGGAACGGCTGCCCGGGCCCCAGCAGGGCCCCCAGCTGCTCCCGGAGGTCCTGGTTTTGCCTTTTCTGGAGGGAGACGGGGCGGGGATGGGGAGGGGTGGGGAGGAGCAAGGCGGGAACTGGGTCGCGGTCACTCCTGCGGGAGGCGGCCGGGGGCGGGCTGCGGGGGCGGGCGGCTGGCGGCTCACCAGGCTCTGGTTCTCCTGCTGCAGCTGTAGGAAAGGCTGCTGTGCAGAACCCAGCGGTCGGCTGGGCAGCTGGGAGGGGGCTGCCCTGGGAGGGGCCGGGGCCCCACCCCCTGGCGGCAGGGTCGGGCAGGGGCAGGTGCAGGACCTGGGCGCCGCGCTGGGGCTCCCCCCCTGCCTGGGCGCCCCCTGCTCTGGCTCCGGGTGCAGGGGCCAGCCCCACCCCAGCCCCTCCTCCACTTCTTGGCTTGGCCCAGCTGGCTCTCTGGCCCGCTGCTGCTGAGTCTCTCCCTCACGGCTGGAGAGGAAGAGCCGGGGGTCCTCACCCCCCACCCTGGCTCCCCCGACTGCTGCCCCTGGGGCTGGGAACGGCCTGGTGCACTCCAGGGACTGAGTGGAGGGGAGAGGGACCAGGCAGGGCCACCTTACAAATCCCTGGCAGGGCTGCTCCAGGCATCCTCCGTGGCCGCTCGAGGCTGGGGCTGGGGGACACTGGGGGTGGGAGTGGCCGCAGGGGCCCAGGGTTTTCGGGCCCTCCATGCCTCCCTGTGACCCCTTCCTGACCCCAGGTCCAGGCTCTGGCCCTGGCCCGCCTGCCACCCTCTTACTGAGGACACTGTGGGTGTGGAGCAGGCTCTCAGGGCTGCCCCCCCAGGTCACAGTCACAAAGGCCTGGGTGCCAGCCGCGGAGGTCACAATGGGCCAAGGTCCCAGGCCCTCCACGCCCCGCCCGCCCCGCAGCTGGAGCACGTTGTGGCAACCACAGACAGGCGTGGAGGAAGCATCTCCTCTCTGCCTCTTCGGTTCCCCTGGACCCCAGCTGCCTCTCATCATGCCCGGTCCCTTCCCTGACTCCACACCTCTGTGGGCTTAGCAGGTCAAGCCGCCGCCTGTAGCGCCGGCATCCCATATAAATGCTGCTCCACTCTGATCCAGCTTCCTGCTGATGTGCCCAAGAAAGCGGCAGAAGATGGGCCAAGCACTTGGGCCCCTGCACCCATGTGGGAGACCTGGATGGAGCTCCTGGCTCCTGGCTTTGACCTGGCCCAGGCTTGGCTATTGTGGCCATCTGGGGAGTGAACCAGAGGATGGAAGACCTCTCTCTCTCTCTCTGCCTCTCCCTCTCTCTGTAAGTCTGTCTTTCTGATCAAATAAATCAAATCTCTTTCAAAAATGTATTTGAGAGACAAAAAGACAAAGATCTCCTATGTGATGGTTCACTCTCCAAATGCCTGCAATAGCCAAGGCTGGGCCAGGCTGGAGCCAGGAGCTTCATCCGGGTCTCCCATGTGGGTGGTGGCAGAGGCCCAAACATCTAGGGCATCTTCCACTGCTTTCTCAGGCGCATTAGCAGGGAGCTGGATGGGTAGTGGAGCAGCCGGGACTTGAACTGGAGGCCACACGGGATGCCAGTGTAGCCGGCAATGGCTTAACCCACTGCACCACAATGCCGGGCCCCCTTTAACCATTTATTGAACAGTTATTTTCATGTCAGGTCCTATGGGTACAATTATTGTGTTCTTTTAAAAAATATTTAGTTGAAAGGAAGAGATAGAGGGCGAGAGGGAAAAGGAAAGAGAGAGAGAGAGAGAGAGAGAGAGAGAAAGTTCCCATCTGCTGGTTCACTTCCCAGATGGCTGACCCCAGGAGCTGGGCCCCCATCCAGGTCTCCCGCGTGGGTGATGAGCCCAGGAGCACTTGATCCTGCCTCCCTGGATCCATGTTAGCAGGAAGCTGGGTCAGAGCTTGAACCCAGGACCCAGGCATTATTATGGAACGGGATGCAGCTGTCCCAAGCAGTGGCTTACGTGCAACACACACCCCCCATATTACACCATTGTATAAGCAACAGAGAATTGTCATATACACAGGCGGTCCCGAGACCAATCCCCCGTGGACGCCAAAGCACGAATGTGCCAGCGTGGTGAACCAGAAGCCTTGTCTGAGGGCTTCCTTCCAGCGAAAGCACCCTCGAACCTGGCTCTCTCCCCTGCCTGACATCCACCAGAGCCAGAGGCCTCCAGACCCGAGAGACTCCTGCTTTTCCACTCCCCTGTAACTGCTTCCACTTTGAAAGCAAAAGCAGGCCGGCGCCGCGGCTCACTAGGCTAATCCTCCACCTGTGGCGCCGGCACACCAGGTTCTAGTCCCAGTCGGGGTGCCGGATTCTATCCTGGTTACCTCTCTTCCAGGCCAGCTCTCTGCTGTGGCCCGGGAGTGCAGTGGAGGATGGCCCAGGTCCCTGGGTGCTGCACCCACATGGGAGACCGGGAGGAAGCACCTGGCTTCTGGCTTTGGATCATCGCAGTGCGCCGGCCGTGGCGGCCATTAGTGGGTGAACCAACAGAAAAGGAAGACCTTTCTCTCTGTCTGTCTCTCTCACTGTCCACTCTGCCTGTCAAAAAAAAAAAAAAAAAAAAGGCAAACACTGGCCGGCGCTGTGGCTGTGGGGTGTTGGGTTAAGCCGTTGTGGGCGATGCTGGCATCCAATATGGGTGCCGGTTGGAGTCCTGGCTGCTCCACTTCCAATCCAGCTCCCTGCTAATGTGCTTAGGAAAGTCCTTGGGCCCCAGAAGAAGCTCCTGGCTCCTGGCTTCTGCCTGGCTTAACCCTGCCTGTTGCAGCCATCTAGGGAGTGAACCAGTGGATGGAAGACCTCTCTCCTTGTAACTCTGCCTTTCAAATAAATAAATCTTTAAAAAAATTAAAAAGAGCAAAACCGGGGTATGGGGCTTGTGGCCCAGTGACTTGGCTGTGGGCCAGGAGATTGAGTTTCTGGGGCTCTGGCTGGGTTTGCCCCCTTTTTCCAAGCAACTAGGGCCTGGCTGGGCCAAGCCCCTCTCTGACAGCCTCTGGAGCCTCCCTCCCAGAGGAGGGGGCCCACAGCCCACCCCTGGCACCCCAAGGCTCTAGGGAGCAGGGAGGGACCTGGGTCCTCATGAGGCAGGAGTGGCCCTGTGGGAAGCACTTGCCGGGGTGTCTCCTGAGCAGCCTCTAGGGACGTCTGTTGTGGGTGCACTGTCCTGGGAACAGTGGGGGGAACTGAGAGTGAGCAGGTTGAGGATCCAGGGCAGTGGGCGGCCCGCAGGGTGGAACCTGGGAGACACACAGCCACCACGCGATGTGCTGGGCCCAGACCCAGCAGCGGTGTGTGGCCGTCAGCCAAGGGACTCAGGGGCTTTGTGCCTCAGTTTCCTCATCTATAAAAAGAGGATGGGGCAGTGTTTGGAACAGCAGTTAAGACTCTGTGTCCCATATGGGAGTGCCTGAGTCCCACCTTCTACCTTTTTTTTTTTTTTAAAGATTTATTTATTTGAAAGGCAGCATTATACAGAGGCAGAGGCAAAGAGAGAGAGAGAGAGAGAGAGAGAGAGAGAGAGAGGTCTTCCATCCACTGGTTCACTCCTCAGTTGGCTGAAACAGCCGCAGCTGGGCCCATCCGAAGCCAGGAGCTGGGAGCTTCTTCCAGGTCTCCCACGTGGGTACAGGAGCCCAAGCACTTGGTCCATCTTCCACTGCTTTCCCAGGCCACAGCAGAGAGCTGGATTGGAAGTGCAGCAGCTGAGACTTGAAACTGGCGCCCATGTGGGCTGCTGGCCCTGCAGGTGGAGGCTTAGCCCACCACGCCACAGCGCCGGCCCTGTGACTGCTTCTTAGTTAAAATTCCTTCTGCCTTCCCTGCTCTTGTTCAAGCTCCCGCAGCCAGACCTGGGGTTGTTCAGACTGACCTTGTGTGTCCTTTCCATTTCTCTGCCTGTCTCGTTACTTGTGGATAGATTTCCTTGACTGCTCGCACACACACGCACTCTCTGTCTCTCACATGGGGAGGGGGGAGCTTCAAAAAGTGCAAGCAAAAATGTGTATCGTGAAAGGCCCAATGTGTGGATTTTTCAATGTTTTGCACCTAAACAAGCTTACCTTTTAATTCTGTACTTCCAAAGTTTTGATTTTTTAGCATTGAATTCTTTTTTTTTAAGATTTATTTATTTGTAAGTCAGAGTTACACAGAGAGAGGAGAGGCAGAGAGAGAGAGAGAGAGAGAGAGAGAGAGAAAGAGAGGTCTTCCATCCACTGGTTCACTCCCCAATTGGTCACAATGGCCAGAGCTGCGCCGATCCGAAGCCAGGAGCCGGGAGCTTCTTCCGGGTCTCCCACGTGGGTGCAGGGGCCCAATGACTTGGGCCATCTTCCACTGCTTTCCCAGGCCACAGCAGAGAGCTGGATCGGAAGTGGAGCAGCCAGGACTCTAACTGGCACCCATATGGGATGCCAGTGCTTCAGGCCAGGGCATTAACCCACTGTGCCACAGCACTGCCCCCCCTTTTAAGTACTCTTGTATGTTTTTAAAAATCTTTACTTTGAGAGCCAGCAGTCACAGCTTTTATCTCCAGGAAGTCTGGGGTGGGCCCCTCTTCACAGAGCCGCTGTGTTTGGGTGAAGCAGGCTTGGAGGAGGGGGAGTCATTGACTTCCTGCCTTTCTCCTCTTCTCCTTCTCCTTCCCCTCCCTGTCTGCTTTGTCTTGCTTTGCTTTTCCGAGGGTGAGGGGGCAGAGAAACAGAGATAGATAGGGAGAACCCATCCCCTGGTTCACTCTCCCACAACAGCCAGGGCCAGGCCAGGCTGGGATGAAGCCAGGAGCTTCATCCAGGTCTCCCACGCGGGCGGCAGGTGCACAAGCACTTGGGCCATCTGCCGCTGCTTTTCCCAGGCGCATCAGCAGAGAGCTGCATTGGAAGTGCAGCAGCCGGGACTCAGACCGGTGCTCTGGCAGGATGCCGGCTGCATTGCAAACCGAGGTGTAACCCTGTGCCCTGTGCTCTGTGACCAGCTTCTTGGCGCCCTATTTTCTGAGCCTACTTACGAGGGAGGCGGGAGTGAGAAGTTGGGCCAGGGGAGGGAGGGAGGCCGCCTGCTTCCCGGGGGTGTCCACCCTGCAGTTCTGAGGTCTAGGGTAGGAGCAGGGCCGAGGGTTTGCCCGGTGGGGGTTCCTGACCCTAGTAATGGGGGTGAACCCCAAAAGCTAGCCCGGATGTCCCTCCCAACTTGTTCTGTGAACTCAGCCGCACTTCCGGTCTCAGGAAATTAGGCTGCAGGTGGCTTCTGTCCTGCTCTGCCACCTGGGGGCAAAGAGCAGGGCCCCCCAGGGGTGGGGTCTGCACTGTCCACGCAGGAGAGGGGCTGAATCTGTCCTGGGCCAGAACCCATGGCCACACAGGCGGAACATGGCCAGCCAGACATGTTGGGAGGGAGGAGCAGCTGTGGCTCTTGTTGCTAGGCAGCACGCCTCCATGGACGCCTGTTGCCATGGCAACCGCTTCCTGCCCGTGTTGCCATGACGCCCAGATGGCCTTGGGGAGGCCCCAGCAGAGCTGCGAGGAAGCCCCGGCCCCTCCTTATATGAGGGGAGGAAGAGGAAGAGGAGGAGAGGTAGGGGGCGGGGGTGGGGCTGGCCACCAGCATGGAGACCTGAGCCTGGCCACATCCCGGAGTGGGGGGCGCTATGCCCAATATTTCCCGTGACTTTGACATTCAATGTCTTCAGCTCATTTCTCAGGCCAGGAGCAGGCCTTGAGTGGACCGAAATTGGGGTCACTGGGCAGGCCACATCTGTACCCCTCCCCCAGGCTCCTGGCCCTGACTCCCCCAGGCTGCACAT